AAACTGAGGCTCATAGAAGTCAAGATCTAGCCATGCCACATGCCTTCAAGTAAAAACCTTCACAGGCTCCCTATTGTTTAATTCTGTGTGGCATTAAGGCTTTCCACAAGCTGTCATGACCCAGGCTCTAGCTTCTGGACCTTTATTCAGACTGTTCCTTTTGCCTGTAATGTTGTTAGGTCTATATCGAGATACAGATAAAGGGTAGGGAACATCTGAGTTCAAATCCAGTTTCCATCACTTTCTAGCTGTATGACCTTGGGTAAAACATGTCTGTCTGCCTCAGTTTCCTCAGCTATAAAATGAGGATAATAAAAGTATCTACTGCCCAGGATTATTGCGAAGATAAAATGAGACAATATTTGTAAAGCACTTTGTAACTTTAAATTGATACATAAGTGTTAAGTATTATTATTTGTATTTGTATCCACAGCATAGTATCTGGTACACAGTAACCATTTAATAAACATTTATTGATTGATTATAAAAAAGTCCAAAGACATCTTATTTCTTTTTTTTTTTGCAATTTTTTTGGTGAGGAAGTTGGGATTAAGTGACTTGCCCAGGTTCACACAGCTAGTAAGTGTTAAGTGTCTGAGGCTCGATTTGAACTCAGGTCCTCCTGACTCCAAGGCCCGAGCTTATTCACTGTGCCACCTAGCAGCCCCCAAGTCATGCACTTCTAATGAAGACAAATTTATTCATCTGCCAGCTAAGTCATTCACCCGAATCACTGCCCGCAGTCACATAAAGAGGTGGCTAAAGTTTAGGATTGAGCTTGGGATTGGGGTGGGATCTTCCTCCACCAGAGAACAATAACAAAGATGGCACAGGTCCTATGGGAAAATAGAGAGAAGATATTTTCTACCCAAGAGCACCTGTACACATCAGGTACATAGATGCTTTTTCTATAGCCAAAGCCCAAGAAATAACAAATTTTCTGCTCTTCTCATTCACTGTAAGACTCAAGAAAATGGAAAGTCTATATGTATAACCTATGTCAAATTGCTTGCCTTTTCAATGGTGGGGGAGGAGAAAATCGGAGGCTCAAAATTTAAAAGAAAACAATTTTTTTTACATTTTTACATGTAACTGGGGAAAATATTTTTTAAAAAAGAAAATGAGAAGTCAGCATACTCAATAGGGGTACACTCAGCAACATTTTAAATAAACAGAGGTCAGAATATCTTGGTCATGAAGCATGGGCAAATGTCACCTACAACGAAGACTTTTCTTTTGAATGAAGGGGGGAAAGAGCCAAACTTCATCATGCTCAGCTGCTTGTACTCTCAAAACTTTAATTCCTCACCTTCTGACCTATTTCTTAATTTGCCAGTCAATAACTTTAAAAGCTTAAAAGCCTCCTGAAGTTGCTTGGTGAGATCTCATTAAACTCATTCCTCATGAGGGTGGGAACTGCTTTGATGTGTGCTAAAAGCTACTTTTGGAAATCAGAGAGTTGGTGTTATGGTCCAAAATCAGGGACTCTGGGGGTGCAATCTGCCAGATAAAACCTAATTTGGACTTCTGAAGTTCAGACATGGTGATGATTCGATCCAGCAGTTAATTCTGTGTTATCTATGAAGAAAAGGCATGCCAAATAAATGGGGCAATATTTCTGGTGAAATGTTTGCTCCTCAGTACTTAATTGAGCAACTCACCTTCAAGTATTGTAACAGTAGCAATTTGCAGCAATATAGTAAGTCGTAAATTTGTGGTAATGCACTACAAATGAATCTAAGCTATTTGTTAAAGTGGATTAATTGAGGTCTTTCCTTGGATATCCCTGAATGATAGAAGTCATCTTCTTCTTCCTCTTCCTCCTCTTCTTTCTCATATTTTTTCTCCTTCTTATTCCTTCCTCTTTCTTGCTTTTCTTTCCTCCTTCCTTTTCCTGACTTCATAGAATTCCATTTCCTATCTCTGGATGCCTGTCCCCCATGCCTAGAATACATTCCCTCCTCAGCTCTATCACTAGTTACTTTCCAAGCTCAACTTAAATACCATCTTCTTTGTGACCCTCCCCCCAATTTCCTCTAAACACACACACACACACACACACACACACACACACACATGCACGCACCTTATATGTAAATGCTGCCACCCCCAATAGGTTATATGCTATAATAAGTTTCTGGAGGACAGGGATCATTTTTGGTTTTGTATCCCCAGGACCTTGCAAAATGTTTGGTACTTGAAGTAGGAATTTAATACATGCTTGTTGGTTGATTCACTTTAACGCAATGTAAAAAAGCACATCTGTTTTGTAAATTAGAATATGCAGGCTACAGAACCCATCGTTTGCCCCCCAAGTCACACAGCCCTTAGTTTGTGCTGGTATATTCTTAAATCTGCAAGAGTACCTGTCATTTCATTGATTCAGGAATTCCCACCAACACTTGAAGATCACAACCCAGCCCTAGCTGCCCATCCTGTGTAACTCTCATCCATGTTCTCCCATCAATTTGCCATAAGAGGTCCAGTCAGTGTTGGAGACGTTCCTCGCTTTTTCCTGACAATGCAGTGGTAACAGTGGAAAGTTCAAGTGGTCCACCTTTCATACCTCGTTCTTGCTAGTCCAGCTTCTCTTCTTATCTTCCATTTCCCTGACAACATCATCCTTTACTCCTGTTCTTCAGAGTTCCTCATTGGTTATATGTTGAAGTCTGTTCATGCCCACCATAAGCACCTTTACTGTCCTCTGTGAGACACTCATTTTTAATTCTTCAGAGGCAAGTTATCACATGCCTTTACTGCCATATAGCAACACAGGTAAAATGTCAGTCCTAAAAAGATGGGCTTTTGCTTTCCTGTGAAACTTGGAATTAGCAAAAGAGCTTTACAATGCCCCTAAGGAAATCCAGACCACTCTCTTTCTCCTATTCAGTTCTGCACCCAAGACACAGTCTTATTTGTTTCAAATATACAAAGTATTGGACAAGCTCTATAAAGTATCCATCCAAATGCATGCTGAAATCTGAGCAGTAGTCAGGCTTCAAACATTTAGTTTTTCCTATGTGGATAGGTAGACCAAACAGATGCTTACAGGTATCTTCGAGGAGGCTGTATAATGTCGAGGCTCCAAGAAGCAAAACACAAAGATGCAAGAGCATCTGGAGTACCTTCACCATCCATGGGAATCTCTTGTCCTCCTTCCCTTTTCATCCTTGAATGTTATGATGATTTTGCTTAATTGGATATCTCAAAAAGATTTCTTCAGACAGCTTTTACCCTCCATTGCTTTCCTCTGCTTTATGAGATAATGTTGCTCATGATCATCCACTGTCCTTACAAATAACATCTTACAAACAAGTGTATATTCTAACCCACTGCCTTTGGCAGCCATCTCTCTCCACTTGGCAAGCAAGTCAGATATGTCCTACAGTACTTGCTTCCTCTGGGCTCTTTTTGTGTCCTTGTAGTAGCAATTAATTTACACTACATAGAATTATTACACTCAGTATTGATATCGCTTCTGTTTTCCATTTCCCATTTTTTATTTCCAATTAATTTTGCAGGGTTAAGTTGTTTCACTTATGTGACATCTTTTTCTTGTTATTATTCTTTCTTCTTATTTTATAATAATTAGCTCTGATAAAGGATGGTCTGACTGTACAAAGGCTACTGAGCTGGGAGTAACTCCCATAACATTAACAAGTCTTTTCCTTTCTTGTATTACATAATCTATTTTGTTCTTTATGGTACTATTCGCTGCTAGCCATGTCCACAATCTTCCAGTTTTTAAAGTGCTCATGATCTAGAATTATGAGGTTTCTTTGTAATTTAAAAGCCCTTGGCATTTCCGTTTCCTTCTTCTTGAACTATACTTTCCCATATATTTCTCTCCAGACTCAGCTTTTCCCACTTTTGCACACAAGTTACCCCATAAAAGAATATATGTTAGTTTAACTTGTAGCATTTTATCAAGTTCTTCTTAGAGAATTTCTACCCCTTCCTTTTCAGCAAACAGTACTGGTGTATAGATTGTAATTTTCATGGTGATCTTTTTGTCAATATTCATCATTAATACTACAATATGGGATGATCAAACATCCCATGAAATAGTGTTTCTTGTTGCTTTGGACAAATGATAAAAACCATTTTGCCAATTTCTTTCTTGTCCTTGACAAGGAATACCAGTGAGCCATCCTTCCATTTAGCAGGAATTTCCTCCTTCTTTCTGGTTTCTTTTATAGAACTATATGTATATATAGCAAAAATGTCAAGTTAGTACGATTCAGCTCCTCCAATAATATGAGGGATATAAAATCCACTGCTCATCGGACTGTAATCAAAGTTTCTTGGTGATCTAAAAACCTGTGTGATTCTTGGTACCCTCTGCCCCCTTTCCCGCCTCTCTGCCATTACTGCTGTTGTTCCATTGTTCTCGAAGAGGACCATGACATCAGGGAGGTGATGCCATGACATACAAGTGAATTGGATTTAAGTGAGGAAGGGCTAGACAAAGTCACCAGCCTCCCTTCTCTCCTTCAGAGCCATGTGGGTCCAGTGGCCAGATATGGATCAGGATGACTAGAGATGGTCCAGGATGCAGTGGAGGACCTTGGCCTTTTCAAGTTAAGGTCTTTCCCAGGTCTCAGTCTGACTGAAGTAATGCCCATTCAGTGATTAAGGCTTAATAAGAAATGAAGCAAAGAATGGCCTCTTAAAAAAAATAAATCTGGGAGAGGAAGACCCTCAGGAATTCTGGCCAAAACAGAAACAACTACAATTTACATTCATCCTGAGCCAACTGGGGTCCAAAAATGACTAAATAGGACTTGGCCTGGAACCTATTGTTGGCTAATCTATGAGAGCCAGAGTGTTTTGGAGTTAAGGCTGGTCTTTAAGAGAAAAAAAAACAAACTAAGGTCCATTTATCTTCAAACCGTTGATAACTTAAGACTTTCTGCAATCTCAGGAAGATGCAAATTACCAAGATTTTATCTACCAAAGTGAAGAGTGGGTTCTCCAAAGTTACGTGCTAGATTACTTACCTCTGAATCTTTGGGCTGCTGATTACGAATGACAATCAAATTATATAATATTCTATCATCATCCGCTTCTGTATGGGAGACATCATGAGGTATGCTCCATAAATTCTTCTCATCATCCCTCACTAGAGTTGCTCCAAAAGAGGAGTAAGGATTGTTGCCACTAGAATTGAGGGTGGGGAAAAAGAAGGAGGGAGAAGAAGTAGAAAGTACAGTAAGTTTAGAGAACTTAAGTATGCAGTACCTTTCTTTTCTTTGACGTATACAATTAGCCTTTCAGGAATACTTAGATGATAACAAAATAAAATTACAAAAAGCAAATAAACAAAAATTTTTATAACTTAGTCACAATACCTTTGGGGTTATTAGTCTACTTGCTACCAATTTCCCAAATTTAAAATGGTTTTTTGATGGCTTACTTCAAATTTCTGGTTACAACAAAGTGCCAAATATGTAAAGCAAAGAAGATATGCCCAGGAAGGCCTGGTAAGCTTTCTCAGAATCAGAGCTTGAGAGCTGGAAGGGACCTTGGGGGCCATGTTATCAGTCCAATTCATGCATGAACAACATCTCCACTATAATATACCTGGCATACACCTTCCTGAATCCATCTTCTATGCCCTTGAGAAACTGTGCACAATGACAAAGTAAGCTTACTGAAAACTCTCCTCACCCTGGGAAGACAGTCCCCTTGCCCTTTTAACACCACGTGAAAGATGCTTCTTCACACACCTGGGCTACACCCTTGGTCTTGGCCTTTAAAGGGAATAGAGGCAGATTGAAAAAAATCAGAGGAAAGAACCACAGATGGAAGAGGGGCTGTATGCAGAGGCTCCAGTTCCCTCAAGGAAACTACCTAAAAGTTATTCAATCATTCTTTAGTGTAGTATTAAAAGAGCAAAGGGACTACCCAGGACCAAAATCATTCAGTCTTTATCATGAACTTAGCTTTGACAGGGGGCTGCAAACAACTTAGGAGATACAAGAAAGATTTAGAAGAGTCTTATCAAGATACTTCTCTTGGGCATATCTTCTATATAAGTATTGAGATGAGTCAGTTTTAATACTCCCCATTTTGTTCTATTAGATGCTTTTTGTTTTGCTTTTTTTGTCTCCAAGTGAACACCATACTATTTCTGTTTCACGAAAGTGATCAAGTAAATTAATTCCCCAGATTCAAGACTTATGGCTTATACCTGATTATAAGCATTTCTGTCCCAGAAATGTCCTTTGCTCCTCTTATCACACTTCTATTGCAGAAATTAATCGACTGCAAAAAAAAAAAAGGCATGCCCATGCTATTCAGCTGCTATAAGAAGACTCACCATATCCTGGAGCTCCTACAGTTATGTATGTGTATATATATATATATATATATATATATATATATATAATATATATATATATATATATATATATAATATATGTATGTATATGCCATGTGATCTTTACAAGGCTGAGAGGTAGGTGCTGTCATAATCCCCATTTTATAGATGAGAAGATTGAGGCTGAGACTCAGGTTCACATAACCCATAAGTGCCTGAAGCAGGATTCAAATTCATCTTTCTGACTCCAAGTCCAGCATTCTAACCACTGGGCAACCTAGTGGACTCACAGCTTCCCCTTTACTCAGTATTAAGATGATTCACATTCACAAGACATCATCGTCACATGGAACCAAAAATCTGGGTCGGGGGGGGGGTCCTATCCAACTAGATATATCTGATGATATTCTAAACCTTTTACTGGCCAAAATAAAATGTTCAACTAATTTTCTGTCACTTTATTAATATGAATTTAGCAATCTAATATTTGAAAGAAAGATAAAACTAGGGCCATATAAACATCTTAGTCTGTGCTAGCCAAGTTCACCAAGTTGACAATTGTAAATAGGTCTTATGGAACACTTTAGTTCCCAAAAGATAAAAATCACTGAGGTTAAGGACCATATATCCTTGCTCCAGCAGCACCGACACCAAAATTGGAACAGTGCAGAGAAGAAAACCACAGCCCCTGAACAAGAAAGACACCCAAGTTCAGGAAGCAATCCCTACTTTTTTGGTAATGATCCTCCCACAGTACTTTATCCTTCTTTAAGGCAATAATATTCTACAGCATTATAATTATCTGTGTTTGTTCTTATCTTCCCACTAACACTAAAGCCCCTTGAAGATAGAGACTGTATCTTATCTAAGTTGTTGTGTTTTTTTTCAGGAAGACCTGAGTTCAAATCCAGCCTCAGACACACTAGCTACATGACCTTGGGCAAGTCATTTAACTTGCCTCAGTTTTCCTTATCCAAAATGGGCTAACAACAGCACCTACTACCTATTTGTTTAGCACTTAACATAGTACCTGACACACACTATTATTATTGATATTATCTCCCTTAATGCCCAGCAGAAGACTACGTACACAATGTTCACTTACTAAATATTTTCTGAATGGTCTCTTTTCCTGTCTCCTTCTACACTAAGGACAGGGAAGGTACACAATAAATACTTATGGAATAATCATAATTTATATAGTGCTTTAAGTTTGGCAAAGTGCTTTACAAGGATATCCCATGGATCTTCACAAGAACCTTATGAAGTAGGTACCAAAATTATCTCTGTTTTGGAGATGAGGAAACTGAGGTTGAATAAAGTTAAGTAACATGTTCAGGGCCACACAACTATTAAATATAAGAAGCAGGATTTGAACTCAGGTTTTCCTGATTCTAGATCCTGTACTATATTCACTATGTCACACCTCGCTACCTCAAGAATTGGGAAAGAATTGAAGAAAATGAACAGATATTCAAAATCACTGAAGAAGATCCAAGAGGTGTTTAGCTTCACCACCTTTTTAAAACTTCCTCAAAGCAGCCCAGTCAGAAATCAGCCAGAACCCAAGTTGGCTCACCAATGATAATGGCGTCCTGACCATGGGCCTAACCCACTCTTTCTCTGTCAGACCACAATTTCCTTTTCTCTTCTGGGTACAATACCATAACCCACAGTATCCTCCTCCATGCAAGGAAACTGAAACCTTTATATTTAAAGTTCCCAAGAAGTCTTGTGAGGGCCACTGATGTGAGCACTTCTGGCCTTGCCCCACCAATCAAGGGCAGGGTCTACCCATCAGTCCCTGAATTATTTTCTTTCCAACTGTAGGCAACACCTGTGAGTCCAAAACTAGTAAAATAAGGCATAAAGCAAGTGGTCTCCAACACAGTGCTGTTGTCTATGAATTCTTGCTAATATTCTCTAACTTCCTGGTCCCTAGACCTTGTCTGTTTGTCCCTACAATTTCCTGCCTATTTCTCCATGACGTAGCTGACTTTCCTGGACTGGACCTTTCACCTACCTAGATTTCTTTTTTTTTCCCTTTTGCTACATTTGAGATCCAAGCTTTTCCCCTCTGTCTTCCCAACCCCAAACTAGAGAAGGCCAACTTTTGGCACAGATATATGTGAACCTATACAGTCCATAGCTCCTTGTATCTGTTCTTTTTCTGGAGGTGGGTTTCTTCATAGGTCCTTTGTCATTGATTTGAATATGTATATAGCCTGCCCAGATTTCTGATGCCCATCACACAAATAGTTTGTTAGAGCCCTACCTGTTTGGGTCTGCTTCCCACTAACGGGGTCCCACTGTTCTTTATATCCCATAAGAGATATTCACTCTTTGCCTCCCCTCGCCCACATTGACAGCACCACTCCTCAAGATAAACCAAAAGTGAGAGAATTATCTTATATAACTTTGGACCATTAGGAAGGCAAGAATAAAGGAGTGAAAAGTCAGTACCAAAAGGATGGAGAAGAGAATCGTCCTGACAGTTCTGATAAGGCCTCTTTGTACAAAGTAAACATAGTGTGGTCTAATAGCCACTGGGGTTTAGGGCTGAGTGAAAAAACCTTCGGAAAGATTAGGAGAAAGGGAATAAAACCATGCTAGACAAAGAGGCCAATTCTGTTCTCTGCCCATGCCTTCCTCCCCACCCTATCCCCCACTTTAGTGCCTTCTCTTCTGAGCCTTTCAGAATCCTGCTCTTCCTCCGAAGGCCTAGATCTGCCTAGCATCACCTCCTACAAAGACCCTCACTAAATCTGCCCCTCCCCCCATAACCCAGCTAAAAGTTCTTTCTCTCTCTCCTCCAATTTTCCTAGGGGATTGATTCTGCTTGGTTTCTCCTTTTCCATAATCACTCCTTATTTTATTTTGTATTTCCTTGGTAGAACATAGGCCCCTTGAGGGCAGGAACTGTTTCCTGTTTTGTTTTATTTTTTATTCGTTGTAATCCCAAGTACCTAGCCCAGTGCCTGGAATAGATGGGGGACCTTACAAATTTGTGGGATTAAGAATTGAATACATAGTTCCTGAAAGGTCCTACAGAAAAGGAGAGCTTCTACTATGCCTACCACTCCCCCTCACACACACTGCTCCCTGCACCCCTCCCTCCCACAGTCCCCACAACCATCTGCTGATAATAAATATTTTATTAACATCAGGCATTCAAAAGCACACTGAGAGGCCCCTATGACATTATATACCGAACAAATGCTTTTCGCTCCTGTAAAGAGGGTGAGAAAGTCCCAGAGATTCTCCCTCCAAATTCCCCTAAGGGTCAATTATCAAATTGATCTTCGGTATTTTATTTTAATAGTGTCTCAGCTAATAAGATGCTGAACGGTTTAGAAAGGCTGATCATCTCTGCTAGGGACTCTGGGAGAGACATTATAGTGTCCAAAGTCTAATCAGTAAGGAGAAAAGTTCTTTACAGAGAGTTTCAAAGTGAATTCTCACCATTGACCTTGAGCTCAGGGACTAGATCCCTAAAGGTCCCACACTCATGAGTCCAGCGTTTTTTTTGTTGATGATACAAACTGCAGGGACTTTTCTGTCCACCTCCAAAGGTCATATGGCTATGTTTATTCTATTTGCTTAAGACTAAAGCTCAAAGCAGCATGAAGAGACTTCAAAAATCAACCAAGGAAATCTTCCATTCCCAACCTAACTCAGGTCTGCCTTTTTATCCAAACACTTATGAAGCTGACATCTTTGAAGGCAAAATAAATTCACAAGATAAACTTACTGGCCTAATTTTGAATAGCTTTTAGCCTTAATTTGCACCTTGGTCTGTTAACATGAAAACAACTTGCTGCTCTGGACACAGCAGTGTGTTCTCATGGATATACCCCTGACCTTGAAGTCAGGAAAGGGAGAATGGAAAAAGCATTTAGTAAGAGCTTACTACATACTACGCAATGTGCTAAGTGCCTTATAAATATTATCTCATTTGATCTTCATAACAACCCTGGGAGATATGTGCTATTATTACTCCCATTTTACAGATGAGAAATTGAGGCTGAGAAGGGATAAGTTCTTTAACCCTAGAACCACTTGCCTAAAGAAAGCACCATGATAGGACCAATACTTAGGAATGGGGGCCTCAAGTCACATTAACAGAGGCTGTAGAGCATGAAAATGATTGGGTATGATATTACTAACAGTGTATCAGTTCAGAGAATTTCCTCCTGGCTATTTTGTCTTCAATTGATATAAACTCTGAGCAGATGGTGTTTATACCACATTCATGGTCCATGTCCTACATGTCCTATCATGTGCCTTACTCTGAGCTGCAGACCAAGTCTTTGAACTTTTCACTCACTTTCTCTTTTTAAATTATAAATGTAACCCTTTATTGAACAGCTATGATAGGAAAAGTTGTAATTTATATAGCACTTTAATATTTGAAAAGTGATTTCTAAATACAGAGTGTCCCAAAAGTCTTGGTGAAGTTTTAAGCCTTAATACACCAAAAACTTTTGGGACAACCTGTATTTTATTTGAACCTCATAAAATAACCCTGGGAGATAGACTCTACAGGCATTAGTAACCCCATTTTATAGATGAGGAAGTTGAGGTTAAGTGATTAGCTCATAGTCCCATAAAAGATTCCCAGCTTCTTTTGTCATTATACATAATGCTAGGAGGTACTGGGGATAGAGCAGTAGGCATAAAGTCAGGAAGGTCTGAGTTCAAATTTAACCTTGGACACTTACTAGCTGTATGACCTTGCACAAGTTATTAATGTCTGTTTGCCTCAGTTTCCTCAACTATACAATGGAGATAATAATAGCACCTATCTTCTAGAGTTGTTGGGAGGATCAAATGAGATGATATTTATGAAGCACTTAACACTGCATCTGGTATACAAATACTAGCTACCGGCTATATAACACTGATTCCATTCATCAATAATTTACCTCACACATGCATGATCTAT